CAGTTGTTTGACCGTTTTCTTATTATGTGCCATTGATAAAGGCTTTACCAAGCCGAAACGTTTGGCTAACAATAAATTTACGGATAATATAAGCAATTATTGAAATCTATGACTGAAGATGGCCTGTTACCGATCGCACACTTGATTTGAGTTTGAAAGGCACCATCCCCATTGCCAAGCAGCACACTGACCGTATTGTCTCCCGAGTTGGACGCTACCAGATCCAGTTTGTTATCGTTGTTGAAATCGCCTGATATTACAGCAGATGGCCGGTAACCAGTTGCACACTTTATTTGACGATCAAGGGTTCCGTGCTCATTGCCAAACAGCATTGCAACATCGTTATCTTGATTGTTGGCCACTGTCACATCTAGTTCTCTGTCGTTTCTGAAGTTGCCCGTTGTCGCAGAAAGTGGATAGCGGCCCGTCTCATAGGATAGTGTAGCCGAATAAGGATTCTGACACAAACGTCCTGAAATAAGACAATATTTGAGATATAGATTTCACTGCAAAAAGCAGCACGGAATAATCGACCCTTTTTTTTGCATTTATGAACATCGCTCACAACGTTTTTTGAGTTTATTCATGTAATATAGCCGCTGATGAAGCCTTCTGTCTCATTTATTCCATTAGAGGGTGTGACCCGTTAGAAACTCAGAAACGCTTTTGGATATATCAGGAATAATACATGTTCAATGAGGGGTTTATTAGGCAACACTTTACCCTGAAAACGTGTGACTTTCGATGAAGGGCTTGTAAGTCCAATTTTGAAGTTTAATAGGCTTATTATTCCTAATACCGTAAAGAACTCCTTAATATGGTGTGAGACGAAATATCATTTGAATTGCTGCTGTATGCAGAGTATTCCTCAGAGTGAAAAGTTATATTTCTGTCAAGGCTCGTCAAGCTGATTGCCAAACTTCAGGACCAAATGATTCACTCGTTTACTGGAAATGTCAAAATCGAATTTTGTCCTTTAGCATGGTTTTCTCACCTTGGCTGAGCTTGAATGATCTGCCTTTTTATCTTATCTGATCACTCTGTTTTTTTCGAATTTTCACATCGAAAACTTACTAAGATTTTCATCAAAAAATGGAAATCAACAAAACTTTTCCAAACATGTATGTTTGACTCAGTTTCCGACGCTGACTCCGAATAAGTTACTTTTATTGCAGAAAAAGTGTATTCTGGTGCAAAAAATTGAAAAATACAGGCAGAATTTCGACTTTTTTGCCTCTGATTTAGAAAAAGTGAAATTTCTCAGCAATGAAGAAAAATTTCAAAAAAAGCAACGTATAGTTTTGTGGGCCGTTGAAAGCGAATTCCAACGCACTATAGAAAAAAAATTTAAATACGTAATGGGAGGGACGAGAAAGCCCGGGAGGAGAGGATCTCATTTTTGGCTGTTCCAATTGATATCTAGTATATAGTATATAGTAGGCAAGGTATTAGAACTGGTATAAATACATTCCTAGGATCAGTTTTACACAAATTATCTCGAAAAAAAGGCTTTTAGAGCGTTAACACTCAAAGGAAAAAAAATAATGAACAATTTCTGTAGGAGAGCGTTTTTCGGGTTTTTGACGTCTGCTGAGTATTTTGCATTTTTTCATATGAAGACACGGTCAAATCGGAAAAATAAGGTCATATTCGTGATCAGCAGACTCCACCAAATCAGATTATGTATGTTTAAAAGAAATCGAAGAGGTCACGGAATCTTTGAATTACGCGCGCCTTAGGTCGTTTCGGAAAGATTTCAGCTTGAAATAGGGGAGATCCTTTAAAACCTGTCTTCTGTAATCTTGTTTTAGTCATAAAGGATTCAGCAGATTTATCGATTCCCACAAGCTCTGCTGTTTTTTCCAGTCTGTCATTCTTGCAGTGCTGGGCGAGTCAAGCTATTTTTCGAGTCCAAGTCATTTCATAGCGATTTCGAGTCGAGTCAAATCGAGCCACCAGTGTTTTCGAGTCGAGTCGAGTCAATATTATTTTTCTATTTTTTTTCCGAGTACTAATAATTTTTATAGAGAACGTTTACTACAACTTTTCGATATTCGCTATCTACTTCTTAATTTTTATACACAAAAAATGAGGACAGTAAAACAAAACTTTTCTCTTTTATACAGCTCCACATCGAAGTTAAAAAAGCATCTTGTTTTATATCTAAATATCTTGACTTGAACCTGTTTATAGCCAAACAATAGTTTATACAATTTAAATTAATGCCTTATTGCATTTTAGAGATGTTAAAACACAAATATTAGCTTGTGTAAAACTTGAACGATGCGGCCTCATTAACAGACCGCTTTGAGAGAAGATACGTTTAATTGGGGCTGATGTCGCAGGAACACACATGATCTTTTTAGCCAGCTTATTGAGAGACCGATAGGAACTTGCTTTTTTGAAAATAAGATTACTTGTTAAGTTTTCTTCTTGCAGAAAACCATCGATTTCTTCTGAAATTGATTTTGGTGTTGAATTGTCAATCTTTGCTTTTTTGAATGAGCCAGCTGTCAATGTTGGAAATAAACATTTTTTATTTCCTTTATCAGGAAATGTTATATCTGGATTAATACTGCTGACTTCTCTGGGTACAACTTGAACATCATCACCGGTAATGTTATTTTTTGAATTGAGTTTTATGCATGCATCAGTAATATTTTGTTTAATTGTTGAAATAACATTATGTTTCGTTAAATCAGATAATAACATACAATCATGTATCCATAGAAACGTAATAATGCAAAGCATGGTAAACGTAATAATTCTGAATTTCCACTTAAAAACTGAATAATATCATAAGTTAATGGTGCTAATTCGAAACAATCATGATTAAGTCCTTCTTCAAAATCATCATTATTCTGTAATGAGCTATTGTCGTCGTCGACACGGTCATCATCTTCAAAATACGTCTCAAAACCAGGAAGTACAATGCCACTGAATGCTTTTATATTATTGGCTGCATTGTCCGTAATTAAACGTACTAATTTCTTCTCAATATGATATTGATTCATCACCTTTTCAAATTCAGCCAACAAAATATCAGCTGTATGCTGACCTTTTAACGGTGCGAACGATAACAGATATGATTTTAGTTCACCATCGACAATGTATGTAATGTAATACCAATATAAGAACGTAATCTTCTGTTAGTCTATAGATCTAATGTGACTGAGACATGTTCAGCATCATTACTTATTTTTTTAAATTTAATGACCATTTTATCATGTAATTTTGGAAGTTTATCACGAGTTATTTGTCGACGACTTAAAAGTGAAAACATTGGATCAACTGTTTGCATGAAATTTCTAAAACCATTTTGATCTACCAATGACAACGGTAAACCACATTCAATTATTAAGTCTTTTAGCATAGATTCGGTTAATTTAACTTGTCTTGGATCGTTTGATGAATATTTACTTGTTTTTTGTCGAATCATATCATGAAGATTTCGTTGTTTTGTATCAGTATTAGCGTTTTTCTTGGCTAACCACTCTTCATATTGAGTCCCATGTTTTGTCTTCATATGTCGTGCAAAATTGGATGTGGTGCCGTATTTATCAGCAATATTTTGTGAACATATTGAACATTTACCATACCATGAATTTAGTTGTTTCGCTTGAATATCAATAAAAAAAAATTTCATAACAGATTGCTTTAATTCGTTTGTGTTATCTTTTGAATTTGAACAAGCACGTGTTGTTGATGAACTAGGAGAATTTGACATTATTAAAATTTAATCATTTAAATTATTATTAAATTAATAAATTAAATATATTAGTTAAATTTAAATTATATTAATCAAAACGTCTTTTATTCAACAATATATTTTATACAAGAGTCCATGTCGACAAAGAAAGGTCATTGTAGATTTGGGTTATTTCTGGATACTCTTTCTTGTTTTATTTTTATTGATACGTTTCAACGGCAAAGATCGCTTCGTCAGACAAAAATAGAATAAATGTGAAGAACATATAATTAATTAGAGTATATATATATATGTAATAGTGCTGACGAAGAACAGGACAGCAATAATCAGTCGTTGTCTCTATAGCACTTTGTCTCCGTCTTGTTCTTCGTCAACACTATTACATATATATACTCTAATTAATCATATGTTCTTCACATTTATTCTATTTTTGTCTGACGAAGGCGTCTCTGACGTTGAAACGTAACAATAAAATAAAATGAGAAAGAGTATTCAGAAATAACCCAAATTTATACAAAAGGAAATGTATGCAAAGCAGTTAGTGAATAGGATTTGTTTCCAATGAATGACTCGAGTCAAACAGTCGAGTCAACGTCTTCCAATTTTCGAGTCCGAGTCAAGTCAGAGTCCTTAAAAAAATGCGACTCGAGTCATGGCTCAGACTCGGCCATCACTGCATTCTTGAATTTATCGAATTCAAATATCATTAATGACAAAGAACAGTTAGAGGAAAATGAGAAAATTTAAACTGTAGCCTCAAACCGGATCAAGGGATAACATGTCCACATTTAAGTATATGTTATACAAGAAAGTGTTTCTGAGTTTGTAAAAGCAGACTTTTTTGAAACTGAATGAATCATTTCATCGATGTTTCATTCTTGGTTCCAAGAAGGATTTGTCGTTTAATGAATGTATTACTACAAGGAGCAACAGGTTTGAAAAAAGATCTTTGGAAGGAGGAGAAAAGATACAGAGATGGCATACTCTCTGTGAGTCTACGAGGTTTAATGTCTTTCAACGCATGTGAAATAGGATGGCCGGGTCTTGCAGGCATGAACTATCGCTCGCTATCCAGCTGAAAGGAATATCAAAGCGCATACCTGTAGATCTTGATCCCAAAACAGCACCGACAAGGGCTGCTACGATGAGCACAGTCGCTAGTAAGCTGATTGGAATGATGAATCTCTTCTTTTGATACAAATGACGTCTTGTAAATGTGATGAAAGGTCTCGTCAAAAATACAAATGGATGAAGATGAAGTTAGACTTACTTGATTTTCGGATAAAGATATGCATCTAAACAGAGAAATACGTCAGTTTAGAACAAACGGTTGAAAGTGTTCGGAACACCTTCGAATGGAGGCTCCAGCAGCATTTCTTCCGGTATTATCTGTTTCAAATGAATGATGTGGAGATCGGGCGCCGGAGTAAATTGCGATTGAACCACCATGTGAGTGCCGGGCAGAAGAAGAATTTCATCTTCGGTAACGAAATGCGAATGAGCTTGTACTGTTCGACCGTTAATGGCTTCGACGGAGAAGAGCGTTCGCTCACCCGTATTGCCTAAATATATGTTATTCTCGAGCACGGTCAGTGTAGTTGTGCATGATGAAAATGCCCACCATGTGACCAGGGTGCCAGGTGGAAAATTCACGCTCAAATTTTTGGTTACTCCTCGCCAGACGGTCTGCGGTGGTACGCAAGGTAGTTTGGCTAGGGCAGTCAAGAACAGTTTCAGGTACTTAAAATAGGGTCGAAGATCCTCGCGATCTGCCGTCTTGAGGGTGTAATTGAGCATCGAATAGAGACTTTGGTGTGGTCCTTCCGATTCGATTGTGTAGAGGCGAATTGCAGCGCTCTCGTCGATCGTGAGTCCGTCGGGTGGCTCTTCTGGGGTTTCATCGAGTGCCATTTGAACGTAGATCGATAAATCGGGGATGATGTTGAACAGCGGAGCACATGCTTTGGCAAGTGGCAACAAACGCTCTCCGGCGTATCCCACAAGGTTCATTTTGATATCGTCGATGATGTTCGTAGGTGTCAGATTGTGTTCTCTAGTAACAGCTTCTACGACTCGACGATTTTGATTGATAGAGTTGCCAGTTGTGTTATCCTCATCCTTCGCTGATACTGTCACTTGTCTCTGATCAACCGTTTCTTCTCTATTCAAATTTAGATGCAGCCTGTCAAACTTGCGCGGTGAATCACTCATGATCTTGACGTCTTTGGTCGTTACTTGCCGTTGATCAGTCGTTTCTCCATTATCGAGTGTAATTGCTGTTTGCTCGTTCCGAAAGTCGTCATCTTTCGCCATCACTCGTCGTTTCTTTTTATGACCTTTCACTATCTTCTGTTTTGTCGATGAGGATTGATGCTGAAAAATCAAAGAACAATTAGTTTTCAGTGGCGACAAAGATGAATAGTTATTGGTAACTAAGAATCATTAAGAAATCATCGAAGCGTAGTGAATTCCAGTTCGTCATTCCGACAAATCGTCTTGAGGAGTAGCAAAACTTTATCCTCATCTCTTACTATCTTTCTCTCCTGATCGCCTTCTATGTTCTTCTGTTAGAATTTTGACAACAACATGCGTGTACGTTTTGACCATGAGATTTAACTCATAAAACTTTAAGGAAGGATCAAGTCGTAAATACACACCTGCTCATTTTCATACCTATTGTTAATGATCTGATCGTCGAGTGTGACGTTATTATCATCTTCTTGTTCTTCGATTTCAAAAGTCTTCATGTTCGCATGCGCTTTGCGATCAACATGCGTCTGCTTATTCGATGACTTATCACTGGACATCTTGTTTTAATGTGTGCATGTACATGTTAGTTTCTATTCTGTTGCTATACACACGCGCTTCGTGTGCTATGCTCTAGTGCTCTAATTTACAACTGAGTTTATAACAACAATACTTTCTACCGTTCTCAACCTTGCGTGACGCTCTCTGTAGTCTAACCATTCTTAGCCTTTCGGCTTTTATGAAACAGAAATAACAAAATGGCAAAGGGGAGGCATAATTATATGCAAAAAACCTATTCATTATGAATTATGGGTTTTCAAGTGTGGAAAATTAATTATTTAGGAGCAAAGTTTTGAAAGAGCACTTTTTTATCATATTTGTGACTATGCATATTTGTCACATCGAAGTCCGTGCAAATCGTGACCGTGCAGCTATTTGCCTATTAGCTGCAAGGTGCCATCTAAATTTGAATAGAGAAGAAACGGTTGATCAGAGACAAGTGACAGTATCAGCGAAGGATGAGGATAACACAACTGGCAACTC